CTAGGACACCTTACACAACCCCTAAAATAGTCCCTTTAGCTGATTTCGGGCCTGCACAGTCCATATAGTTGCTGAATTTTTATCTGCAAAACTGCTTCTTTAGGGGCTGATTTTTAGCCACAAAACAGCCCCATAGCTGCTAATCTTTAGCAACAAAACAACCCCTTTAGGTGCTGATTKTTACACACAAAACCGTCCCTTTAGCTACCACTTTTTAAAAATTAATTGAGGAGTGCAATGTATTATGACACATGTCATATGCTTGCATTATCCAAACACAATCCCAAAGCATAAGAACATGGATCAATTTTAATGATTTGTGTAAATAGCAGGATTTGTGCAAGTAGCATTTGGAACAATGATTAAACGATTTTGATCAAGAGAAAGTAGTGACGAAGAGAGAAAGACAGGTACTATAAGCTACTTTTTCCAAACATTTCTTATTGACACATGCACAAGAAAAAGAATGTGTATATATTGACAGTTGTTTAAAGAACCATAGTGTTTTTATGCAAATGATTTATCTATGCCACTTTAACACATAAGCATCAACAGTCGGTCCATACATGACATAGCAAATGATGGATTTATGGGGAAGCATTATGTATTCATTAGTAACAACCAACTTACCTTTTTACAGCATAAACTTGAATCCCAACTTTTCTGCMGCTAAATTGAAAATATCCAGAAAAGCAGATGATTTGTGATCCTAACAAGTATGTATGTAAATGTGGCCCGCTGGTATTTATAGGCAACATGGTTTTCAACAGATTAGCTCATGCCAACATATATTTGCTTATCACAAGTAAACTATATTTCCATTGTAGGTTTTCTAACAGGTGTACAACTACGTTGATCGATCCTTATATTCAGATATCTTACTTCTTCTTCCAATGACACGCAGAAATTATCATCAGATTCTTCTCAGCATGTTAGGTCTGCTCTGGCCTCTATTATAATGGGCATGGCCCAAGTTTTAGAAAAAGTAAGGATGTTATATATTTGTCTTTGCAAGATTGGTTGTCTTGATGAATTTATTACAGTATTTCTTGAAACGAATGATCAAGCAACAACATAACAACAATCTAGTATTTCTTGACAAAAATGTACTGTTCATACTGTTAATAAAGAACCCATGTGCAGAAAATGCATTTGAAACAGCAGGAGAGATTGTTGAAACATGTGCAGAAAATACATTTGAGAGTACTTGCCTATGACTTAGGGGTCGTTTACCAAACACTTACCCGGGTAAGCGCTTACCAAGTTATGTTACCTCACCCGATGAATATGGTAAGGACCAAGAATCTTACCCAGTAAGAGCGAGACAAGGACCATAAATCTTACCCGGTAAGTAAGGGCGACGACTCTTACCATGGTAAGGGCTTACCGGGTAAATTGTTGCATATGATGTTGTTTTCGTGGACTAAAATATTACACGCTAAGTAAATAATAATGTTAAATTTTACCGGTAAACACTTATTGGGTAAGTGTTTGGTAAACGACCCTTTAACCATGTGCAAACTTAATGGAAATGAATATGGCAGTTGAAACAACAAGACAAAACAGTTGAAACTACATGACCTTGTGTGTGTGTGTATAAGATGAAATGGAAAACAACAAGGGTAACACAAAATAGGCCACGGAATTTGAAAGAAATCAGCAAATACCAACATAAAAAAAGCAAGAACAAAAACAATATCTCAATAACGTAAAAAGTTTTAATCACCATAAATGATCTTGGAAAGAACAACAATGAGCACCAACACATTATAGGTATAGTTTATGTGTCTATCATCAAAGGGAAACATCCATAGCCCAAATTAGGACTGATGTAGCAGCAACACAAGGTCATGTAGCAGTCAACATGATCAACATTATGTTGCAAGGTAACATGATCAACATTATGTTGCAAGGTAACATGATCAACATAATATATGGTATGTTTATTGTTACCATACCCCTGTGCCTGCTGCAATGTTGTTTATTGTTGCAGAACAGCAGGGGTATGTCAACAGCAGGCAACAGGCACAAGGTAACATGATGTTGTACCTAAACACACACACACATAAGGAGTAGTTTGCTGTTTTGAACAAGTCTACTGTTTTAAAAATAATTAATGTTGCTGCTGTATCTAAACATACACACATACACACACATAAGATGAACATTGGTTTTGGACAAAGCAGGGTTAGTTGCATATCTGTGCATACACACACATAAGTGAAATGGAAAGAGCTTCTTGTTTCTGTGTGTGTGCATAAGATGAAATGGAAACAGATGTTTCTGTTTATGTGTGTGTGCATAACTCCAAACCAAAACAGACCCAAAAACAGCAGCTAACCATAAGGCCATCACCATTCTGCGTGTATGCATAACTCCATAGGCATGTTTACGTGGTTTAGATCAAAATAGGCATGTAAACAGGTTATACTTAAGCTTAATGTAAATTGGCAACCATGAAGTATGTAAGCAAGATATAAACAGTAGTATTATTACATGAACATGTTGTTCAGATGGTGAAATGTTGTTCAGATGGTCTTGACCAGCTTACATATGTATGTACATGCATAGATACATAGATAACTGTACATGACAGCAGCAGCAGGCACAGGGGTATAACAACCAAACAACCCTTTACAACTTGTTTGCAGAATTTACATTAACTTGATTTTGCAACTTATACCAAACAAGAATGCAGTCCCAAAATAAAGTAGATGATCATTGTTGTATATGTCAAGAAACAAATATAGCATCAAATTCTAAACATACATCCATTTAACAAACAAATTCATCACCAAACCAACATTCGCCTAATTATCTATAACAATACATAATAAATAGGTTCATTATATTATATAATGAGTTCATTAATCTGGAATGAAATGTAGGCTTTTAGGGTGCGTTTGGTGCGCAGACAGGACAGGACAGGATAGAACAGGACAAGACAGAACATGACAGGACAGGACAGCTGTTCAGCGTTTGGTAAGACATGACAGGACATGACAGAATTGGTTAAAATGACCAATTTACCCCCTGAGCTGTTTAGTGTTAAAATGATCAATTTACCCTAATCACGATTCTTTCAATCGTCATCCATCTCGTTCTCTTCTCTGCTCCACATCCTCGTCGGACAACAACTTCCTCTTTGCAATCGATTTGCAAGCATAATGTTCACCCGTAGCTTTCTCTATATAAAGAAACGTAATGCCAAACTGCCCTTGTCCTAATTTCTTCCCCAAAGTGAAAAACTCCTTCCCCATTTCACCTCAATCTTTTCTCAAGAAACCCTTTTCCACTTTTAACATAAAGATCCAGTTTTCACTAGTTTGCTCAATGAAAAGTAAAGATCCAACTTCAATATCAAAAAAACCCCCAAAAAATAGTCAAACCCACTTCAATTGACTCCAAATTTGTCAAAATAAGATCATAATCTTAACTCAAACATGAACTGAAATCAGTCAAACCACCAAAAATCAAAAGCAGACTCAATTGATCCAATCCAATCCAATAAACACCAAACAGTTTCTTTTATTCTCAGTCTTATTATTTACTACTTAATACCTCCAATAAACACCCCAAGTGATAAACACTCTCCCGATAAGGCATATTGAAATTTCAAGTTATTGTAGTTAGTTTCTCATTACAAACCACCATAGTAAAGCTCATATATCTCTAATTAGTTAAAAACATGCTAGCTACAGATTTTGCACATTTATTATGGAACCATAGTAAAGCTCATACATATATATGCCTCAAATAGAGTGTATATATACACACACACATACACATCAAATATGTACTCTACATCAAATAAGTCAAATGTTTTAAAAATATGAACATGTAACAGCTGATGTATCTAAATACACACACATAAGGAGTAGTTTGTAATTTTGAACAAGTCAAGTGTTATATGTTTATCTTCATCACTTTACACAACAACACAACAGAGACAGTATGATTAGAGTCTCTCACCAAGTTAGAGTATTATTACATTAATAGTTGCTGTATCTAAACACACACATTGTGCACACAACAACAGTAATACAAAAGCAAAGAACATTTAAAACAAGGCTAATAACATACTAAGAAAAATTACAAAAAAATCCAGATTTGGAGGACCAACCAACTATATGAAAAGATTATCAATCAATCACATACTAAAAAAAATTATCAATAAAAAAGGATTCTTACCTCAAAGATGTAAATAGCCTTGCTTCATCAATCGGTCAAACCAAAAATAAGAGAAAAGGAAGTTAAAATCTCATGTGGTTGCAAAAATAAAAATTGAAATAGAAATCAATATTGTTTTGAAGAGCATACCTCCAAATTCTAGGGTTTTGAAGAACCTGTGAGATTAAATCAACAGGGAGGAGGGAGTTATATGTATCAATGAGGTTGTGGTACATCAAATCCCTTTGATTCATGAAATCGCACATCTTCTCGAGGTGATACATCCAAACCATCATTGTTATGTTAAACGAGATCTGTAAGGAAGAAAGATATCGACTATCTAACCCAAAATGTTTTGATCGTATGTGACAAAAATCACAGAAGAAGAAAACTTTTGGTCTTGGTGGTTTTCGTCGTAGAGATAGGATCCTGAAGAAGAAGAAATCGGCCTAAATGAGTATTTTTAAAAGCCTGATAAGAAAGCTTGGTTTGACCCAATATTGCATGAAAGGCCTGTACATTATGTATAAAAATTTGTAATTAAGAGTTTTTTGAATATCTTGCATAAAACAATTGTAACTTATATGTTATAAAAGTTGTAATTAAAATATTAACCAAAATAATTATATATATAATATAAATATATATAATAATAATAATAATAATAATAATATATAAGATGATAATTGAGTTTGACATTTTGGTGGATATTAAAGCAATTCCAATTTCCTATATATTCAACACCCTCTATCAAATCTTTATTAAGGGTTACATTAACACTTCCTTTGTCTATTCTTTTAAGAAGTGTAACTTTTTGAATTACAAGATTGAAGTGAACCCTGGAATGAAGCCACGTATAGTTGTCTGGAAACATGCAGCAACCCACGCGTCGTCTTCGCTCTACCGCCATGGACTACGTGCGCACATCAGCCGTCTTTATCAAAACCAATCTCTCACATCGACTTATCGTTTCTCCAAGAAGCGCATTCAAAAACACACGCAAATCTTACACTGTGACAAGATGATGAACATATTGGCTCTCGGTCTTGTTCTAACGTCACTGGTTACAGGAGCGGTGTGGTCTCCTCCTCCGCCTCCTGACAACCGTGAGGAGGTGATCGTGAAAGGAGGCCACCGTGTCATCGTAGTTGAATACGAGAAAGAAGGCGACGGCAACACTAAGGTATTGATTTCACCACACGACCCTTCTGCTTCTGGGGTTGATTCTACAGACACTTGTCATTCCGCCGACGGAAACCCGCCGGTGGATGATGCAGAAGCCAAGTTCTCCCGCCCTAGAGAGCTTGTTTGTGATGCTTTTGGTAAGTGTAAGCATAAGATTGCAAACGCTTTCGGGAGAACAAAAGACAAGGTTTCTGATACGGCTCAAGACATCGAAGAACATGCCAAGGAGGCTGCGAGTGGAGCCGTTGGGAAAGCCAAAGACACAGTTTATGGATACGAAGAACGTATGAAAGGGGCTGCGAATGAAGCATTTGGGAAAGGCAAACAGGCTGCCAAAGATATCAACGAGGCCAAATCCAAATTAGCTGAGAAAGTATCGGAAAAGATTGAAGGGATAGAAGATAAGGCCAAGGGGGCTGCAATTGGAGAGTCGTTAGACAATGCGAAGGACAGCATCGCTCAAGGAATCGGCAAGGCCAAGAAGGTCGCCGGAGATGTGATGGAGACAGTAAGAGATAGCGCAACGAAAGCGAAGAGTTTCGATATGGTGGATTCACCCAAGAGAATAGGAGAAGATATACAAAGAAACGTAAGTGGGAGAGTTGAAGAAGGCGCTGAACATGTGATGGAACAAGCCAAAGAAGCTGCAGCAAATGTGCAAAAAGTAGGGCAGAAGAGTTTGGGTGAAATCATAAGCAAACTAAAAGAAGTGATGTATGATGTTTTTTGGTACATGGTGTCTCCTGAAAAGGTAGATGCAGTGGTGGGTTTGATTCATATGTTGGGGTTCTCGACTGCTTACGGGATGTGTATGTGGGTAACGTTTGTTTCCAGCTATATTTTGGGAAGATATCTGCCAAGACAGCAGTTTGGAATGGTCCAAAGCAGGATATACCCAGTCTACTTCAAGGCCATGGCTTATTGTGTTGGGGCTGCTTTGTTGGGGCATCTTGTGAGTCGGAGGAAGGAGAGTTTGTCCAGCATAAAGGAGATCTTTCAGGGTTTGAGTCTTCTTTCTGCACTCTTGATGGTTTTAATCAACATGATCTGGTTGGAACCAAGATCGACCAAGGTACGTAGTAGACAGAAGTCATCTTCATCCTAACAGGGTAGAACCAAACATTTGTGTCATTATGACGTTTTTAGGCGTGAACTGCTAGTCATTTTATACGATATTGTTTGAAAAATAAGTTTTTATAAAACTAGTTTTTTGTAAAAAGCTGTCTAGAATTGGAATGTCCAATAGATAAGACATTTTGTTTTAAAAGTTTGTACGACACTCTTGGATAGGGTACAAAAGTGTTTGGTCTAATAAATCGTATGTCCTGTAACGGAACCTAAGACGAACATTTTTGGTGTCCTCTAACCTCGATTTGGTTTATTGTTTCATAACTTGAAACTATTAGTGTTTTGGGGGAACAATTATACTTGAAAAAGTTTAAAAAATTGTGAAAGAGCTTGATATTCTGAACCGAGTACATATGACATGTTACTGATCAATAGCAAAGTCTTAGTCTTCGATAAATAAAATCATGTGAATAATACCTCAATTAATGTAAAAGTTCTCTCATCTCTGGCCATGTATGGGTTCTCATCTCATTATGTCTATATGTAATATGTGCGAGTGTGTGTGCTTTTTTTGTATGTATATTGTGGAATGAAGTTGATAGTTGGATACATGCAGGTGATGTTTGAAAGAATGAAGATAGAAAAGGAGGAAGGAAGAGGGATAGCTGGTGCAGTTAGAGAGGGGATAGCAGATAATGGTAGTGATACGGTGGTGAGGCCGCCTGCAAATGTAGCGGCAGAGAGGCAAGATGTTTTGAGGATGAACGAGAAGTTAAAGAGGTTGAACTCATACTCGTCTGCGCTGAATGTGTCGACGCTAGTGGTGCTCACTTGGCATATGGCTTACATGGGCCAACGCCTTCAAGCGACACGGTAACTAGCTAGTCTTGATTCAGTTATAGCCACCTTTCAATACAGATGGGCAGGAGGGATACGATGATCATGTTTCTATATATAGTTATTAATATTCTACTACTTAGGACCTGCTAGCTTCTTTAATTATTGTTTTGTTAAATACTTGAATGTACGTGTTTTGTGTTTGTTTAATTAGGAATTAAGGGCAGTTTGTTGCCCCTGGTTCTCTTAAGTTTTAGATTTTCATGGTGCTATCAAGTTCATATTACTTTGCACTTCGTGATGTTATGGTTGGTTGTGGATGTGATGTTGAAACATGTTCTAATTTCCTTTTATATATGTCACAAACATGTCTGGCGGAAGAGATCTTCACATACATGTAAATGTGTACAGACTATATATATAAAACTTGAATATAATTGTGTAAATGTGTACAGACTATATATATAAAATTTGAATACAATTGAGATATTTATGGATGTAGAAGATCATCGTTTAGTCGATCATTATTATTGGGACATGGGATGATAAGAGACTATACAAAACTTAAATTAAAAAACAATTAAAATATTTATGGAATATACTCAATATTATTGGGACAAGAGAGTTTTGAGTTTAAGGTTGTAACTTATTATATTCCCATGACACGTGTCACATAAAATCGAAGAATTAAAAAGTCTAATAAAAAATCGAAGAATTAAAAGAGTAGGTCGGGACAAAGAAACGGAAAACTGAAGTTGTACGGATAGATCAATTTGTACCGAAACAATTGGTACCGAAATTTAATGGGATTGAAACGAGGACCAAAAACTGAACTGTATGTACAAATTCGGTATTAGTTCGGTTTCAGTTTTGGTTCGGCAATTTCAGGACTAGGACTATCTACGACCGGAAATTGAAAGGGGGTAAAGAAACAACCAAAACCACTCGCAAATTAATTGCAAAAGTTCAACAACCAAAGGGAATGGGAGCCGATTTTCGAGGTGCTCGAAACCGTATAAGCAAAGGGTATAAGAGCCGATTTTTTGATTGATGGTGATTGGGACCAATTTTTTTGATCAAGGAAATAGTTATGGAGAATGTTTTAAGAGAAGATATGGATTAGTTTATGAGAAATTATAATTAGTTTAGGAGAAGGTAAGAATTAGTTTAGGAAAAGATAGAAATGGAATAGGAATAATCAAGGTCCACAAAAACTAGTGCTATATAAGAATTAACAAATGGAACAAATCTCGTCATGCTAGTCATGGGTACACCGTGAACAGGAATGATGTCTTGCAATTTTTGGCACTATGAGGGTACAAATCATCTCTTCTCTTGAGAATCATATAATACTAAGCTAGAACAATGTCAACACATATAGAAAAATTAGGGTTTTTTGATTGAGGATGACAATAATAGAGACTAAGATGACTTTAGTTTACACTCTAACATGCATAAGAATGATGATACTCTAAAATTTGGTATATCGTTGCACAACAACGTACAACACGGTTTCTGTTAAATTCAATTTCAATCAAGTAACATTGAATAATACAATAAGAACAACAATCTAGATCTCAAATCATCATGTATATTGATAAATTCTCTCAATACATGTTTTTCTCTCTAACTTCTCTCTAGAATTACTATGACTTCTTCTTAACAACTAAACTAGCAAGAACTATTTATATGGTTGACTTTCTTTACTCATGTTGACTTTCACTTTGAGTCCTTCATTCTTCAAAGTAATCTTTGTAATCGGTGATCTCGGATGTAATAATATTTGACCTAACAGTCTCGTCCTTTGGATTCGAGATCACATTCTTTAAAAACAAATTTGTTTGTCTTCATTTCAACAAATCTTTGTTTTTAACAATCTCCCCAATAAAGACGATCCAACTTTGTATAAGATTAACCTGAAAAGTAACAATCTCTTTAAAAAAAAAAAAACAAAACAGACTTTTCAGATCAAAATCTTCAACTTGAAATCATCTTGAGATAGTCTTCAACAATCATCAATTAACACATCTTCAAGATAAATCTTTTCAGTCAACAGATAAGCTTCAGACATTTAGGCTTGAGGATTTGACACTACGTGTACTAAGCTCAACACCCATATATCATGAAAGAATCTAGTGTTATGAACAAACTTCTTCAAACAACTTTAACGAATATGTCAACAATAAGTCTCAACAAGCCAACACCAATATTTTAAAACAATACCAACCTTCAAATCATCTACAACCTTTAAATCCAATGGCTTTTCAACCTTTGATTCAAAAGATTTAGATACAATTCATCTTATCAAAAAAAACTGATTCAACAATTTACCAGTTAAGCTTCACTTTTGAACATCAACACTAGTCACAAAGTTAAGCTTCACTTTTGAACATCAACACTAGTCACAAACATCTTTGAATATAATTTCTTCCTCATACATTTGAATAATCTTTTTATATCTATGCATCATGTATTCCTCTTCTCTTATTGTCTTTGATATTATTTGTCCCCTCCTTGTAACTATTAGAAGAATCCATAACATCATGAATAATCAAAGAATTTAACAAATCAGCTTTGGCTATTCTCAAACATCGTTAGACAAACTTGATTTCTCCCCCTCAGAAAGATATCTCTATCAGAACAAATTTCTTCCCCTTAAAAATAAATGTTTTTCATCACAAGCAATCTATCCCCCTTGAAAATTGGGTATTCATTTAACATAAAATTATATTTAGCAACTATTATCACAACAATTAAATAATTGTTTGCCCTATGTTTAGAGTTGGCATTGATTTGTCTCTGATAGGACTTCCAGTTATCATTGAAGTAAAGTTATAGAACTAACTTCTCAAACTGTTTAGCAATATCACAAAGTTATGAAATGTGAATCACTAAGACTCGAGAATCTGGATATGTAAAAGAAAGTATTGTCATTAAAGCTCAAGATAGACTCAATGTGCATGATTGAGGTGTGAAGGTTGGGGCAAACTTCCATCTTTTTTTAATATCTAAGTTTTCCAAATAAAAACTAGATAGATTATATGTTGCTTCCCCGAGAAAAATGAAGTTAAGAAAGAAATGAGTAGCTAGTAGGATTAAATCAAGAGTTGACATGGGCTTATTGCCTGTTTCAATGATGGTCATGAAAGAATTATGAACCAACATTAATGTGGTTGCGCAACTTGAAGTGGTTGGGACAGGGTTTTCTTTTCTTTTAACTCTATTCTCTCACCCTCTATTTTTAATAAAAATCCTCACTACTAGCCGAACTCTTATTTACATTTTTCTACTCAGCATGATGAGATTTCTCAATCGTATGAGTTATATATCTTTTATTTAACACCCCTCACCTCTCAATCACTCAAGAATTATTTATTGGGTAGAACTATCGGTTCTAGTAGCTCATTGAAGCACAGTTAATCCCACACATTGATTTTATGAAATGCATTCTAAAAATTCAACGATATTATACTTCGAAAAATTTCAAAAATCAATATTTGAATACGAGTCCTAAATTGATATGTTCAGAAATCAAAATACTGAAATGCAGGTTCTAAACAAAAAACTGTTTGTAAGTTAAAACAAATATAGAACTTATTCTAAACTGAGGGGTCGATAAGCTAAAACGTGAAAAATATATGTTTTGATTTGTCAAAGAAACAGATTCAAACGTTAAACAGAATAACTCAGTATGCATAGTGTTTACAAACAAATATTTCGTGATTCGAATGCTTAATTGTGAAGAACAAGTTACAATTAATAATATGAATAATAATTGAATCATTTATATGAAATGACGCACATTGAAACAATTACGATTTCAAACGAGTGTATTTCCACCGAAAATTTCAACGAATATGTAAGACGTGGAAATAACTAGGTCAATAAAATTTAACACATGGTAACTCAAGAATTAATATAAAATCAGAAAAGAAACAAATATGAGTAAGTTTCTTAGATTGAACTATCATGGTTCTTTTGAAAATTAAAATCTATTCACTTACAGAATATGGTACTTGTTGGGTTCAAGTTAGAGCGTTAAAGTTGTATTCAAGTTTCTCCTTAGAATAACTTTATTTTGTAATGGTGTAGTTTTACTATTCCTAGTATAAATAATATTTCCCTTTGTAATTGTCATTAACCAAGTCATTAGCAGAATTGTAATCAAGATTAGAGCTGTAAATTTTTCTCTCTCAATCTAATCAATCTTTGATAATTCTCTCTTTACTTTTATGTTCATCTTTGTGCGATTTATTGAACGATTTAATCAATCCGCTTGGTAAGACTTGATAAATTTTGTCTACTTGAGCGATTTATATCATTGATCGTATATTCCTTGGTGAATGAACGGATATTGATCTTTTTGATCGATTTTGTTGACTTTTCATCGATTTGTTTTTAAAAAGGACTTATACGTCTATTGACTTGTTGACTTTTTACGTCCGATCTTCATTTTGGAATTTTGACTAAGTGTTGAAAACCTCCGATTTGAGATTTTTTAAATCAAATTGATTTTTGTGCCTTATCCGTATTTGATTTTGCATAATCCGTGTGATTTGTGAATACTTTGTTAAAATCTGGTTAAGTCTTTTGAGCGATTTAAAGTTGCTTGTTGTCCGGACTTCTAATCCGGATAACTTGTTGAATATTCTATCTTTTTGACCGGACTTCCAATCCGGATAAGCTTGACCGGATTACTAATCCGGACAAGTGTGTGTGCATAATTTGTACTAAGTGTTGAATGAGTGAAAATTTTGTTTACATATTATCAGATATATTTTTGTAAACTGATTCTTTAATTCAAACTTTGAACTGCAGTTGATCCTAATTCATACAATTTGATACGATGAGTTCACGAGAAGCAATGGCTATTGGTACTGATACCAAGTCACCTGTTTTGTTTCGTGGTGACTATAATCAGTGGAGAGACAGATTCCTGAATTTTATTAAGAGAATGAAAGAAGGAGATCTAATCATGAAATCTTTAATGGAAGGTCCTGCTGAATACTTCATAGAAGTAGAAGTTGATATAATAGCAGGCTTACCTGCACAGAAAATTCCTAAACTGAAGCATCAATATACATCTGAAGAAAAGGAGAGAGCTAATGCTGATGTGTTGTGCAAATCTTATATGATGCAAGCACTGACTAATGATATCTACACCAGGTGACAGCATGTGGGTTCAAATCGAAAAGATAATGATGGGTTCGAAAGTGGGAACTCAACTGAAAATCAC